TGTTTACATGAATAAAAAGTTATCGTGTTTCAGATCACATCTAAATTTGGCCAATTTTTTTTGTAACACACTGTATGTGACTGAGTCGTATATTTTATAATATTATGACGCCAGAATATCATTGCACCATAATGCTAATCTGTATTTTACGAAACTCATTCGTTTAAAAGCTTATTTTTCTTTGCGGAAACAACATTTTTTATAGTTTATTTGTTTATTTGATTGCCTTTAAGTTTTTCTCTAACAGGATTAATCGATAAGGAAGTAAATTGAAAAGCGAAGATTGCATTATTTAAAGAACAACTTCATCATCACCAAACTTTAGTGATCGATTTATCGTGATGATTTAAAAGTGACAAAAACTTACAAAAACATGTACCCAAACTTGTCTTATGTTCTAAGTATCAATATTGATCAACCTATTACTATGTTGCTTCAAACTCAGACACTAAAGACAGCTCAAGTACATTATTAATATTATTTACGTATTATTATTACGCGTAGTTAACTTCAAAGTCAAAAATTCGAAAAAATATTTTTTTAATTTGTAAAAAAGAGGAATTTTTTATTTTGAAAGAAATATACGGAAAAAAATAAGTAGATTGATTTTCTTACAATGATAATTTAATCTCACATGATAATTATTCTTCTTGCATCATTGCAATATGCATACAATAATATAATAATTATTTCTTCATCCCCGGGACACATAATTTGGAACTTTTGATAATCCTATTTTATCATTATCATTATTTCTGCTTGTGTCAAGTGTTTTTACTTGTATCAAACATTTTACTTATGTCAAGTGTTTGCAATTACGTCAATTGGCTTTACTTGCGTCAAAGGCTTTTACTTTAGTCAAATCGTCAAAATGGCCTAGCGAGAAACTACCTTTAATCAATGCTTTGTTTACGTCAACGACTAAAGTCAAAAGTTCTGTCATACATCAATCATTACAGCTACCTCGGGTTTATGACAGTAGCAACATTATGCGAATTGCAAACAAGGGTTCCCAACCCCGCTGCTACAAATCCACGTAATGAGCCGACTTACACAACCGAGGTAACGGGGTTAAAGACTATTTATCTCCGCCTAACTCCTCTAACATTATTGTTATTAAATAATGGATAACAATTGCCATTATTTGAGTTCAGATAGGTAAATCCACGACGGGTGTTACTATTACGCGAAGAATTAATGTCCCGATTCCACAAAGTTGTGCACGTATTCATATGCGTCATAAGTTGTCCCACTTGTCCATCATAGCGAGAACAGATAATGGAAGTTCTGAATTCATCATATTCCATAGCCCGACATGCTTTTTTCAGTTGCAAAAATAGCACTTTTTTATTCCCACGGCTGCTGGATGTTGTATTATTGATTGGCAAACATCGACCGCTATTTGCACCATCATTTTTGAATCACAAATTATTTCTTCTTAAATCAACAACAAAACCTTTTAACAGTCGATAGGCTGAACATGGATTAACTGTTAATGTTGCAATCTGATTTCCATTATTAGGAATACAAGTGACTTCGTCTCTCATTGCGATGACAAAATACCAATACAGTGAATTATTATTTTTTTATTATTATTAATAAATAAATAAATAAATTTAAATTTATCAAATCCTGGTTTTCCCATTGCAACTCAGTCACCAACTTTTAAAATCATTATTAATTGATCATCGACAGCAATCCCCAGCAACACTTTCATTTTCCGCTATTGCAAATTTGTTTCCAATTTCATTATTATTATTAATGGCAGGCTGCTAATTTCTGAATGTAGGTTTTACAGATAAATGCTTTCAATTTGATTAGATTTATGAGAAATGCCAAAAATTTCAGGTACATAGGTTATTAGTGTTAAAGGTATACTAAATAAATGAATGATTATTAATTATTTCAATCAATTTGATTTACCAAAGTACATCTTATGGATTACCATGATGATAAATAATAATTTAGAACGCTTTTCTGATATTACAAAGATGCTTTTTAACATAAAAAAGCTTTGATAGAACCAAAAAAAAAAAAAACTTTAATGTTCACTTTGCTGATTAAATGCTAGTACACATATAACCATTAAACTATCAGATTTTTTAATACAATGAAAAATAAACCAATAAAATAAAATAAATTACTCAAAATTTTTTCTAACATTTTCATAAATGCTTGTAGGATAAGATAAATGATTCGGACATTTATCCAATTCACATTTACCACCCAATCCATTAAAAGATGCTAATAATAAAGAACGATCATTACTAGTTGGATGATCAGAACTTAATTCCCAGAACATTACACCACGTAGACATTTATCTTTAATATATTTAGTTTTGTGTGTGATAACTTTTGGTGTGTCATAGGTGATCAATTCATGGTGACTTGGTGAATAACTATAACTTGCTATAGACCTATCATCAAAGTGTTCAATTGCACCTTCTTTAGGAAGTTTTTTATAGTCATAGACACCTGCCTCCCATGTTCCTTCACCAATTCCATTAAATGATGAACCTAACCCATTTGTATTTTGAAATGCACGACCATACATAGGCATACCAATGACAATTTTGTGACCAGGAATTCCTTGATGCAAGTAATACATCACTGCTTTGTCAGTGGAGAGTTCCTCACCGTATAGATTTGATTGATGACCCGCAACACTTGACCACGATCCTTGGAAATCATATGCCATAAGATAAAATATGTCAATGTATTTTTCCATTTCCCTCAATTTCATTATTTTATAATTGTCTTCTCCACATGGTACAGCAGTTGTCAAGAGATAATGATGAATTTCATGTTTTGATTCAGCATATTGGTCTAATGCTTCCCTGAGATCCTTAAGTAATATTACATAGTTATTGGCATCTTCCTCATTTTTCGGATATTCCCAATCAACTATAATGATGATAATAATAATAATAAATAATAGTATATTGAATGATAAAGTAAATTTTTTTTTGTAAGTAAAAAACAAAAGACATTTAAATGTAATAAGAAAAAAAAAAGAATACTTACTATCTAATCCATCTAAACCCAAATCATTCATTAATTTGATTGCAGAATCAACGAATTTTTCTCTAGAATTATGTGAAGAAGCAACGGCTGAAAAATTAGTGGACCAAGTCCAGCCACCAATTGACAAACTAACTTTAAGATGTCTATTCTTCTTTTTCAACAGGTACAATTGTTTGAAATTTCCATACAAATTCTTTACATTGTCATTCCATGAATCACCATCAAAATGAATATCAGTGTCAGACCATGGATCACCCAAAAATACTTCACCATCGTTTTTAATATTTGCAAATGCATACAGTATATGAGTAAGTTTATCATAGTCTATGTCTTGTACAAAAAATTTTCGTGCATATATTGACCAAGCAGCAAAATAAGCAGCTATGACTTTTCCATGTTCTGTCATTTTGGTTGCTTGTGGAATGGAAGTTTTTGGAGATATTACGTCGATTATATCAATTTGTATGGGTATAATTGGCTTTTCTTGGCATGTAATGTGTTGTTGATTATTTAAATGATTTGTAAAACTATATTGAACATTCACTGTTACTCAAGTTTGCTTATTTGGGTCAAAACCCAACAACATTAACAGGGCGAAAAGTCATTTAATAAAATTATTATTATTATTGACATTAGAAAAAATTCGAATTTTCTGATAAATTTTGATATGTGTAACGTTATAAAAATTGTTGATTTTCAAAATATTTTTTTGCCATTTTTCACTATGCAAACGACCTTTTCGCATTAAACAAAAAATTGAAAGCCAAACTAGGAATTCCAAACGACTACTCGAACAAGAAGCTAGCTCAAGTATTGGTTGTTCTACGACAAGTTAAAAGCGTTGGTTTTGTTGGCACTTTCCTTAAGATGTTCATAAAACTAGAAGGGTTTATAAAGCAAAGACAATTGCAATGGATGTATCAGAGTGTGCTCTGAAAACTTTGTTAAGAACTCTTCGAAGGTTAAATTAGGAAAATTTCAACTTTACTTGTAGGGCCTTGAAATCCTGGTTGACATAAGATCATACTATTAATTATTTCCTAATGTTAAATATGTCTGGATAGAAATGATACATAATAGAAATAAAAATAATAATAAGGGTTAATGGTTATGACATTACTATTCATTGATACTTCTTTCTATTTAATATAGTTAAACACAATTCTGTCTTATTGGTGACAATGTTAATATTGATAAAAATAATTGTATAATTTTTAGAATTTCAATGTATGCAACCATAATATTTATGCAATTAACCAAATTTGATTAATTATCTCATGTATATATACATTTTCCCTTTGTAATGCTTTATCTCTTTGCATTATTCATTAGATAAATCTAGAGGAAAACATTTAAAAAGATAGTATTTTGAATTCATTTACACAATTTCTTTATAGTTATTTTTCTTTTTTCAACAAATCCAACAATATTTTTACATTACAAATTATTTACTCAAACATGTCTGCCGAATTATATAACAAGATTTATGAATTCTTGACAGCTGCCGAAGAATGTCAAATAAATGCTACACCGATTTTTACCTTAGAAGACTGTTGTATTCCACAAAATGAATTAAGATTAACCAAGCTAATCAAATATAAAACCAATAGGGAGCGAAATTAAAATTTTTAGCATGGATTTGGCATATGATGGTCTATACCGTTGTAATCAATTATCGAAAGTATTGCTCCCAACAGAATGCGAATTTTTTAAACATCATCACTGTAGTATCTACTCTATATTCATTATTGGTAAGTTTTACTTCGTTGTCTTTAAACAAGTTGCTCCATAGTATATTCTCTAATTATTTTATTTATATAGGAAAGGGTAAAAACATATTATTATTACCCTAAATTCATATCAGCCGTTAACTCAATCATCATTTTCCCATAACTTTTGCCGAAAGTCAAACTCATCACCTAAAAAATATGTGTACCGGTAGTTAGAGTTTAGATTATAGATTATTAAACAATATTATGTTTATTCATTATGCATTACTTATATGTACACTGTATGTATTAAAAATGTTACAATGCAAAATAATAATATTATCAGACCAAATGCATTATTTTTTTCGTGTATTTGTGTAATCTATATAAAACAGTTTATTTATATCAATAAAGAATTTTGGCGTATATATCATATTTTTTTGTGTATATATAATTATGAATACTTTGCATGTGTATTTCTGGAATCTTTTCTAATGTATTGATATCGATGCCACATATGATTGAGAATTTTATCTAAATTTTTTTACGGAGTAAAGCTTATATAGCACGTATCTCCGATGATGATTTTTTTGTTTATGCTAATAAACATACTTTTGAATAATTAATATTTATGTAAAAACAAACTTCTTAAAAGCGACTCTAAAAGTCATGGCAAATACGCAATCTAAAATTGATTTATTAAAAGAAGAGAATTCCAAGCTTATAGCTGAGATTACTGAACTTAGTAAGGAGAATGTTAAAGTCAATGCTGAAAATATTGAGATCAAAGCCGAGAATGCAAAATTAAGACAAGCTTTAGAAGGACATGAAACCAGAATCACGAAACTAGAACAGGAAGAAAAAGAAAAAAGTATTACTAATACACGAAGTGCACTTCTACAAAAGATGTTTCGCAATCTCCAGTAAACTTTAATGATACTTCTTAACAGATAATCTTACGAAGTGAGGATGCTTTGGTATCTGATATATCTAATAACGCTTCAAATTCTGATGTACGTCAGAAATTTTCGACTCGATGCTATACATCACCTATCTGCACAGAGCCTAAATCGTTGGAAGATAATGAGGTTAATGAATTCCTGGATTCAGTGAATAAAGAAAATGTTAGTAATGAAATAAGAGAAAGAAATCGGGAAAAGAAGCTTCTACGTGAATCTGCAATAAATCAAGACTTGACTTCGGATAACATTTTATCAAAGCTATCCAATTTATCATGTGACACAAGAACTGTTCCCTTGGGGAACGATCAAATTCATGCAATTTCAGAAGAGCCAGATTTTCCGAAAACTGAAATGTCTGAATTGGAGCACGATGATGAGGTTGATAAAAATCAAATCGTAGAACAGGGCTTAATAGAAGAACTGTGTTCATCTACTGAGATTGCTTCCGCAATAGAGAATACTAGCTCTACCGAAACTAGCATCTCATGTGATAAATCAGAATACACAATTTTAGGTGAGTCAGAAACTCGAAGCTCTGCATCTTCCGCTCAACATCTTTCTTGTTTATTTAAAACGGCAATCAAATCTCATCAACAAGAAATCTTAAACTGGTATTATTATTCTCTTGAATTCAAAAAAAAGGTTCATGCTATTACAGCTGATGGTAAGATCAAAGATAAAACAGCAAGAACAATGATTTATAAAGAAATGAAACTGTTTCTTCCTAATATCACTCAAGATAACTTGCGTAAAAAAACCCTTAGAGCTAGAAAACTTCTCATATTATTCGGAACAAATGGAGTTGGAATAGATGAAATTAAACAAATTACATATAGTGCAAATGAGATTTCAAAACTAACTAATGCTCAAATTCAGAATATTATAAATCAGGTAACTTCACAAACCATTCCCTCGGGGAATGATCAAAGTCATGTGACTTCAAAATGCCACGATCAGATTAATGTAGAGGTAAGTATATCTAATGAATCGATTTCAAAGGAACCATCTCAAGTTTTCGCTGATTCAGAAAAATTACCAGAAACCGAGGTAAGTGTGTCATATAATCCGACCCATGATTGTGTTTATTTGCGTAATAAAATATTAGAACAATATCCTAATTTATATCGAGAATTTAGTAGTGAAAATGTCGATTATTATGGAATTACTGATGAGACATTATGCCCATTATGCGAGTTAAATCATGAGGAAGGTGTAGAAGGCATATATGAAACTGGGTCTTATTATATTAAATGCGAGCAACGTGAAATTGAAATAACTGCATAAACTCCATCTTCTTATGCCTTCTTATGCCTTTTCATTACCTCCTAATAAAGAGCAGGACCATATAATACTGAAACAAATTCGCTAAATATTTTATTTTTGTCTCATGAGGATGCTTTCGCATCTAGCTATTGTGAATTAAATTGATTTGGAATTATTTAAAACGGCAATATGAATAATACACAGACCAATTCTGATAAAATATTAACCTCTGAATATCTTGATTGGTATGCCAAATTAACTGGTTTGCCAAGTATCTTAACGGATAAGATTTGTTCCAAGTTATATAAAAGATATAAGAAAGAAACTGGGCTCGACCCCTGGATAAATTCCAAAACGAAGATAAGTGTATCAAACAAAACCCGAGAGGCAGAGCCTTGTTACTCCCGCAACACCCCAATTTCTGGGACTAATCCAAATAAAATGGAATGTCTTTATAAATATGCCATTGAACATGGGAGGATCCTGAGAAATTTTCAATTGTTACTGAAGCTGAGAAAAATAGGTGGGCCATGGAATGCTTCCGTAATGACTTGGAAAGCGATATACACTTTTATCAAGGTGCATTAGAGAGAAAGGAAGACCCTAGAAAATATCATAAATTTTTAACTGATCGGGATAGGCTGATAGGTGAAGAATTATTACATCGTGGTATATTAAAGAGTGGTTTAAGTACTGCATGGCTTGATGATCTTATGAAAGAATGGGAAAAAAACCATACTCAATTCATACAAATTTTTAGCCAGGCCTAGCTAGACACGAAGTGACCTGCTTTGCAATAATTATACTATTTCGAAGAAATAACATTCTCAATTTATTGATATATAAAAAAACATTGCTGAAACAACATCATACAAATGAAAAAAATATTGGCGGGAGTTCACATTTGATCTAACATTTCTTGTCGTTGACCAGGATTCATATAATCATTGTCATCATTTTCCTCATCCCTTTCTAATTTTTCTCTTGAAAGATTTTCCCAGTATCTGCCATTATGGTCATCGTCTTCTTTAGGATCATAGGTCGAATCTAATTTAATGCATAGAATACACAGACACAGTCCGATAAAATGAGATTTAGTCTTGCTAGTTTAACTAACCACCTTGCAACTGCCTTCAGCAATATGTGAAGAACAATTTTTAACAAAAGACACCTACCAAATCCGTCTTTCTTGTTTTTGTCATAGGTTTTAGATGATTTTGGTCTAGATGATTTTGGTTTGGACGATGTTGGTTTATTAGGTTTGTTAGCATTAGGTGAATTGGAATTGTTAAGATTGAAAGCATTGGAATTATTAGTATTGCTACTCATTTTGCACTTAAATATAAAAATTCATAATTAGTGGAATATCACTTTCTTTTCTGTAACGTAAAAGCCCAATCTGTATAATAATACAATACCTCAGAAATAAATTGCGAGTATATTAAACAAATTTTTTCAAAAAAAAAAAGAGAGCAATGTTATTGATAACCCACCTCACGAATCCGGTTTATTTATATGTCTCATTCGCTAAATCTAACCTGATATAAGAAAAAATTACATGATTAGTAATTACGTTACCCAAACCATTTGCCAGATGAGTCAGAGACTCTGTACTTCGTGCATCCTTTCTTCGTAAAGCAAGTCAGGTCACAAGCGCCAAGCACTAAATATATGAGCCATAGACTATATTTCGCCTTTTATGGGGAAATTAAACCTTTCAGAATGACGATCGCTTTTGTAGAATAAAAAATAAGACAGATTTTGGCGATCTCGGATCTCAAGTTCCATAACATATGAATTTTGATATTATTACTGATAAAGAACAATAAACTCTCCTCATTCATATCATTTTTGAGTCTCATTTGTATTTTTTCTTATCGGTAAAGCTATATACAATAAGGAAAGGGCTTTATTAATTCCATAATCTATAAATATAGCGAGAAAATAATTTAGCAGTATCACAAATTAGTCTTGTGGAACAGTTGAATAATCAATTATAAATCGTTATTTTTTTTTTGTTTTCTTCACGAAAAATAAACCTGGTTCTATCATTATATCAAACAAAAATGAATTGCAATATTATATACTATAAACTTGTTAAAAATCGTATATAAGTCTTATAACCCTTTATCGTTATAAATTATAATCGCTAAATATGTTTGGTTTTGAAATTATCTTAGATAAAAAAGATAGAACTTTACCTAAACCTATTAATAATAGACCAGGATATGATATGAAATATATTATGTCATTAATCTCCCATTATTATGCATATAGTGATAAACGATACAAGCAACTCTTTGATACTGAAAGATTATACGATACATTATCAGTTATTCAACCCAATGAAACTCCACAACAATGGGCTATTCATGTGAGAGTTCTTTTACAAGAGCTGGTCTCTGAGAGGAAAAGGAGCGTTTACCATGAACACTGTTTATTTGGGGCATTTGGAAAGTCTAAGCTAGTCGATTATGACTATTACAGACCTAGGATTCATAAAAGTTGAATGGCAATCTGTATATATTGTATGAAGCTTACTCGGATTAATGATGTGAAGCCTAGGAAATCATTTCACTATAGTTGGCAAAGATTTGTGGAAATTGTTGAATCTGAAGACCTGATGCAGTATCATTGGGATCATGAATGCGATAAGCCTAAAACTGATTTTGGGCATGCAAGGATTATACAAAATGCTTGGAGAAATTATAAAAGACCCGAATCATTAGCATCTCAAATCTGGAATGCTGTAAGAAATGATAACACCCCCAATGATAAGAAATTTTTAGGTCTAACTGCACGTGAAGTGAAAAATCCTCAAACTCGAGATCAATTCAATCTCTGGATTGCTGAGAACCTTGCAATGTATAGACATTACCCTAGTATGTACAACATCTTTCGTGGTAGAGAATATAAAGAATATTATATTCCATATGATTGGATAGGAGATAAGAAATACCAATTAAATAATAGATTGTATAAGCATGTTGTAGATTTGCTAAGAGAACGAGGTTACAGAATAGTTAATAGCAGACCTTGGTATGAAATGATAAAATGGGCAGATAAACCAGATAAATATCTTAACAACAAAAATTTCGTCAGAATCGAATAATATGTCACAACTATTTTACATTGATAGTTGACGATCAATATGCGGAGCATAGAGTCTCTGACTCATATTTTTAATATTTTTTTTTGTGCCAGATTCCCATGTAAACCGAAAATATTGTTACTTATTAGATTTTGCAACATCTACATCGTGCAAATATGGTCAGTTGATGTCTTGTGCGACTATATGTAGGGATCCCTAAAATTGGATTAACCGCACATGGTTTAGATTCTTAAAATCATGCATATGTGTCTTGACACTAGCTCCGCTATTAATATATATTTCGATTTTTTCCCATATATTACTATTACTATTACTATTACTATTAGTGTCAAAAATATTTATGGATCTCTTCAGATTTTTGCAAAGATATGGTCAGGAAATTTATTTTTTAGCACGACTCTAGCGCGACTCTAGCGTGACTCAAGCATGAGTGTATCATTTTTCATATAACTATATAGAAAAAATTCTAGCGCGACTCTAGCTCAACTCTAGCACGACTCAACCACATTTAAATCTATATATTTTTGCATACAAACTCGTTCCATACAACACAAAAACCCCCAGTGTAGATAATGTATCGATACCTAATATATTTTTACACATCCACTCTAACTTCAAATACGGCAGGATCGGTCAGCTCAATAATATGAGTGGCAGATAGAATGTGGAATACACGGAGTACGTTTTATCTGAAATATATATCTACCTCAATTTCAACACCGGCTGGATACGTGCATCTCTACAGAGTGGCGAGTATGATATATACTATATACTATGTTCTATATATAAAAAAATAGCGAAGAAATATTATTATTTGATTGAACTTAGACATCTTTTTTATATGAAATCGAAGAAAAAAGTCTCTATTACAGGAAATGGAAGATAAGTTATTACGCATTTGATGACTTGATCTCTTTTTCCAGATCTAGAGGATTCATATATAGACGATCAAACAAGGCATGTAACATGCCCGCAGTTAAAAGGAATCAACGTAAGAAGGAACAAATATATTTTATGACCAGTTTTATTGATAAAAACGTGCAAATAACAGTTGTGAAATTTATTTACATTTGTGTCCGAGAGGGAATAGAAAACTGGTTTACAATAGTATCTATTTGTGATACAGACAGTTCCGAAATTGAGTTCGCGCTATAAGATATCAACTTAATTTTATCAACGCCTACACCTTTGAATAACTTGTAAACAATCCGAGCTTTTTGGGTTTTTTGGCGTAGATTAGCGAGTGTGATATCGGGAAGATGTTCCAAAACTTCTTTATAGACGCGGGATCTTACCGTTTTTTCAGTAATTCTGTTGGAGGATAGTATTTCATTAACTCTGTTTTCGTGCTTTTCCCCATAACGATACCAGCATAAAATCTCCTTCTGGGTCGCATTAGAAGCATGCATCTCCGCACGACATGCTTTTCGATATAACCGGGCCATTAATACTCCAGCCGATTCTGTAGCTTCGGTTTGGTCATGTTCTTCTTCATTAACATCGTTCATTACACCTTCAACCGGCATACCCAATTCCTGAATTATATTATCCACTCTTCTCTGAGCACGGGTAATTCTTGAAGCTGAACGTGTTTGCGATAGAGATTTAGTCCGGGTGGGCAATTGATATACCTTTTCCACGAAGCGAGGGATCTTCTTCCGACGTTTCTTCGGATGTACCATCTGATGTTTCTTCTACAGTAGAGCTGATTTGTAGGTCGGTTTCTAATATATTAGCTACCTCTGAACTTTGACTTGGTTCGATGTAACATAGCGGACAGCGAGATTCGTGCTCGATGATGCTGCAAGGATTATACAAAATGCTTGGAGAAATTATAAAAGACCCGAATCATTAGCATCTCAAATCTGGAATGCTGTAAGAAATGATAACACCCCCAATGATAAGAAATTTTTAGGTCTAACTGCACGTGAAGTGAAAAATCCTCAAACTCGAGATCAATTCAATCTCTGGATTGCTGAGAACCTTGCAATGTATAGACATTACCCTAGTATGTACAACATCTTTCGTGGTAGAGAATATAAAGAATATTATATTCCATATGATTGGATAGGAGATAAGAAATACCAATTAAATAATAGATTGTATAAGCATGTTGTAGATTTGCTAAGAGAACGAGGTTACAGAATAGTTAATAGCAGACCTTGGTATGAAATGATAAAATGGGCAGATAAACCAGATAAATATCTTAACAACAAAAATTTCGTCAGAATCGAATAATACGTCACAACTATTTTACATTGATAGTTTGACAATCAACATTTTTAATGGGGGTTTTTTTTGTGCCAGATTCCCATGTAAACCGAAAATATTGTTACTTATTAGATTTTGCAACATCTAGATTTAATGTCATCAAACTAATTTGGCTAAGTTCATAGAACATCTACATCGTGCAAATATGGTCAGTTGATGTCTTGTGTGAC